GAGAGAGAGAGAGAAGGAAGGTTGAAAAAAAAATATGAAAATAATGAGAGAAATATGAAAAATAATAATGAATACAAAAAATTGATTTGTAATATATTTAAATTAATGGATTCAGCATATTTTAATTGTCTCTCTTTTTAGAGAATCTTCTTTATTCAAGGTTTTGAAAATAATGTTACATTCTGAATTGTTCCACCCTTATAGATCTTGAATAAATAAATTGATGATGCTTGAGTGAATGGGGGGGGAGGGGGGGCAGGAGGAGGGTACAAATCGAGCGAACTGTTTGAAATAACTGCATTACTACGAAACATGTAATATTTTCTTGCTTGAAAAGAAAAATAATAAAACGGATTTAAAAATAAATTATAAATTCACGGATCAACCCTCTCAAAATTTATCTCGAAAAATACTCAAACAAGTTTATGAACTTTATACCTTGAATTTTATTATTCATTAGAAAATAATAAAATATTTACACTAATTGTGAAAGATTGAAAAAAAATTTATTCTTCGTTGTTTGACGTCATACATTTGAAAAATTTTGACGATAAAAGATAACTATTTTATAAATTATTATTATTATTATTATTATTATTATTAATTTTAATTTATGCATAATACAAGTAGATCGTTTTAAAATTCATCTTTCTCAATACGCTCTTTCACCTATGACATATAAAACAATTTCATCGAATTATTATTCATCGCAATAATATAATAATTTCTCAGGAGAATAACGCGTAAATTTCTCGTTTCCCGATACAATCGTATTTCAAATTGAAACGAAAAGTTCGATATATACGTTAATCGTTAATGATTGGACGGTGATACAAATAACAGATAACAAAATAAATTGATCGAATTTGAGAATGCATATACACCTATATATATATACATTATTTTTTTTTTATCGTATACACACGAAACAGTTCGCGTCGTTGTGGCGAATCGATAGAAAGAAAACATTAACAAGAGCCTTGGTATTTTTCCGATGCCTTTCAATTCGTACTATGCAGCCTTTGAAACTGTCGCGATCTTGCGAGAAAACTTCGCGCAGACGATGATTGCCATCTTCCTCTCGTTTTGCATAGAAATAAATCAACGATGACGCGTAACAATTTAATAGAAAAATTAAATTACGAATGAAAATAATGATAATAATTAATAGAAAAAAAATAAGATGAATAATATCGGAATTGAAAGATGGCGGATTATCGAGAACTAAAATAAATTCTCATAATCGAAATAAATGAATGATAAATTATTTTTAGAGCGAGGATAATAATTCAAAGAAATTAAGAAAACACATTCGACGATCGGAATAATAATTAAAAGGCATTGCAATTAAGATAATCTATCCGTAATTTTTTTAATCGTTCTCTTTACAGAATGTCCTATCTCAGAGGACGGGATGGAAAGGTTTGCGTGTCCCTCAGCGGACAGAATGGGTAGATACCATTGCATCGACGATCACGCCTTGTGCGACGGTTTTATAGACTGCCCTACAGGCGAAGACGAGGACAGGCAAGCCTGCATGTTTTACAAAACTGTAAGTCTTCAATATTTTTTCAACACCCTATACAATCATCAACACAAAATTTTACGTAAAATTCGTACATTCCCTCTTTATTTTCTACCACTATAAAATGTCTTAGACGCGTAGAATTTTATCGATAATTTTATTCGCAATTAATTTATTTTCTCTTCCTTCTGTTATCATGCCACACACGTATATAGCGAAACGTTAATACGTTATATTTTAATCCCCAATTTCTTTAATAAAGTCTCTTTAATCCACGTTTCACCGAATTCCATGCATAAAAATATCTTCCAAACGCTTGTGCAAAAGATTATCGCAACCCCCTAAGACGAACAACCTTCACCGTGCATCAACCATTTCGCTAATTTCACGCGCAATTGCGCCACTCCAACCCCCTCGTGCAACCCCAAACACTCGAAAAACCGCGGGGAACTAATCTCACGGGCGGCTCCTGGGAAGCTCAATTTACACTGTCTGGTGAGCGCGTAAATCTCTAAAAGAAAAAAAAAAAGAAAAAAAAGAAAAGCCTCGTCTCCTTAATTCTCGCGCCGACAAAGGCCAGCTTTCCATCTTACTTCCATCTCGTGGAAAAACAACAAGTGACGAGGGACACAGAGTGGAGAGAGAGAGAGAGAGAAGGAGAGGAGGAAGGAAGAAGGAAAAAAAAAAGAAAAACAATCGCTGCTGATTTTCAACGAGAATTCATCGTGCGCGCGGACAAAAGGAAACTGAGTGGATGAAAGAGGGAGATTAGAGAACACGTTTCGCACGCGCCGGGAAGAGATAAGTTTTGCGAACGGACCGCTTGAAAAGTGGAACGAGCACATCGAGCGCTGGTGCTAGCCGCACCTAGAGAGATTTGAACACACGCTTGGAATATGTAAGTAACAACGTACTATATGTACTATCCTTTTGGAACGGAACGGAATTCGAGATAATACGTCGGAGGAGAACGAGTTGTAGTTTGTGAAATTTGCGGAATTGAGGGTCTTTTCTCGAATTTACGGTTTGTTAAGCACTTCCCTCTTTTTCGGTAAAGAGATTTTGAATATTATCGAGTGAAGATTGAATTGAATTTTGGGTCAACAAAGATGATAATTTGCGTGCAATTCGCGCGTTCGAAAAGGGAAAATTATGTTCGAGTTCAAAGGGAACATTCTCAAATTTGTCATCCTTCTGTTTTAACGTATTTCATATTCGTATGTCGTGTAATCTCTTTCTTCAACACGTAAAATAGAATTTTCTAAACAAATTTAAGTTGATAGTGAAAATTTCTGATAATATCTTAATGCTATCAAAGATAGTGAGAAAAAGGAAGTCGTAGATCCAGATTTTATCAAGAGATATTTTTTAATCTGTATTTAAATAGAGACATTCCCAGGAAATATTTCATAATTACGATGCATTCGAGAAAAAAGAGAAACTAAAAGAGAATTCGATAATATCTCATCAGATATTTTTACAAGAAAAAAAGAAGGAAAAGAAAAAGAAAGAAAGAAACAAAAAGGAAGAAAGTTTGAACTGGATTTAATTGAGACTTGATTCGAAGAAATTTTTTTAATCTATATGTTAATAGTAGACTTCTCGAGAAAAAAATGCGTTGCAATTAAAATGAATTTGAAAGAAAGAAATTGGAAAAAAAGAAATTATACTTTCGAGATATTTTTATATACGAAGTTTGGAACGAAACTATTTGCTACGAAACTATTCGTAGAAAGAAAGAAATGTGATTTTATCTCCTCTGCATAATTTTGATTTACCAGATTATGCATTCCCAGATATATTTCACCCAACTTTTCATCCATGCAGATTGGATGCTACGTTGAAAATGACGATGAAAACACGGTTAAATTTATATTATTGGCCAACGTGAAAACATCTAACTATTATAACTATTATAAATAACTATTTTATGCTTATCTTATTATTACTCGCTTTTATTAAATATAGTAGTCGCAATCACGTCCGCGTAAGTAATTACAATATTATACTATCTCAACACATCCATCTCTGATGACTATCATGACGGCGGTGACGTGTTAATTAACTTTATTTAAATTAAGACTTATATCGTGCCGTGAAAAATTGTAAATCTGTTATAAATCTGCTTCTTTAATTCAATTAATTTTCATCACAGTTCGAAAATAGAAAATGTTCGCAGAAAATAATCTGCTGTGCTATTGACAATTTAAAAATACTGCACGTAACAATACATGCAGAATCAATATTATATCATAAGACACAACTATATTTAAATTTGATTTTTACACTATTTTTACGACTCGTGTAAAATAATATAATTTTCGATTATTTTCGAATGCGTATAATCAGTTAACGTATAATTATAATTAACAAGAAGAACGTAGCGCGGTCAATTATGTACAAACAACTCTGGTAGTAGTCAAGTAAATAAAGCTAGGCTGCGCGTTATTAATTACACAAATACGATATTTACGATAAACAATCGTGCTGTTTTTCATCCTACGTGTATCGCCGACGCGGTTTTTAAAAATGATTGATTCTAAAAAAATTTGAGCGACGTTTATATCCATCTCACTAAATCATTTTACTTGTCCCAAAATTCTATGCTCGTTCGAATATATTTGTCAAGCTACGCTATCATAAATATGTATAAATCTGTATCTTTCACGAAAACTGGGCCAAGTCATGAATCTGAAATATAATAGATAGAAGACGAAGAAAAATTCCAAAGAAGAAATAGGAAGAAATTAAATGATTTGAAATATCGTGATACGTAGAAAAATATACTGTTTGATATCTTACATAAAATTATGTGTGAAAAGAAATACGTTCGGTATTCCCTCCTGGGCAATGGTGGAAATACAAAATCTTGATATTTTTCAATAATATTAATATCACTTGATCTTAATATCTCAAATGTTTTTTTGCACTACTAATATTTGGAATTCTAATAATTTTTAAAATATAAAAAATTATATAATTTTCTATTTTAAGAAAATAAAAAAATGCTCTTAAAATTTTTGAAACTTTTCGCTTCGTGTCGTACGAAATTATTTTAATTTTGTTACATGAAACTTTCTTCTATCTTTTATCAGTTTCAGAGTTGAACCGTGAAATATCTTGTTATGTAAACGTTACTAAAATATGTATATATTTATGATAAGTTAAGCGGCGAAGTAAAAGCGTTTATCGTGATTTCATGGATGTACAAATTGCAATGTATTATATTGGACCATTTCTGATCAAATCAGTATATAGGTTGAAAAATTCCGCAAGAAAATACGAAGGAAAGTGTGAAATTCGTATTATGCGATTCTCGACAAAATCTGGAATCCTCTTTTCATAAATCTGCCAAATCTTTCGTTCCAGCAACCACGGCAACCCTCATCCATAAATATTAGAATATTTTCTAGTCGCATACAAAATAGATCCAAAGAGAATTAATCCAGATTATTACAACAAGTAATCAATCAGAATTTTATACTTGTATAAAAATTAAAATTCGTAACAAATTCGTAGAAACAATAGAACGAGAGATGTATAAAATTTATCGCGTTATAGAAACACGTGGAATAAATTAACTTTTTTAACTTAACAAATAATCAATATTATATAATTGATAAAAGGTCGTTCAATATACTTATCTCTAAGAGTTCTTCTAAAACGAATATCAATTCTACTCGATCTCAAAACGATTTCTCCCCTTCGTCGTCAATGTTTCGAAATCTTCCCTCAATTAATAACAAAATAACAAAAATCTCCACGGATTCTCTCCACATTTATCTCACCCCACACGAGTGTTCCTAATACTTATTTACCTTGCTGTCCCCGCGACACCGCCGTTGACTCGACGATCCACCCAAAATTCCCATCAACGACCATACCCTTTTTTCCACCACCTACACGTACCCCGTCCACTTAAACAAACAAACAAACAAACAAACAAACAAAAAAAAAGCAAGCTAGAAGAAGGGAGGAAAAACAATGGAAAAAAGAACGGGCCGGAGGGAAATCTGAGCAACGCGCTTCGCCCTCTCGCGGATTTATCATCCCTCACATCCGGCGAACGGTTGACCTTTCTCTTCACCTGATTCCGGCCCCAGTCTCTCTCTCTCTCCNCTCCTCTCTCTCTCTCTCTCTCTCTCTCTCTCTCTCTCTCTC